ACACACACACACACACACACACACACACACACACACACACACACACATAAATAAGAGAACCTTAATGACCATGTCATCAGACTTTTCAAGAGACCTTGTGAGAGTAAGGTCAAGACCCCACGCTACACCTCCTGATGACGTTCTGGGTGTTGTCCTCTGTGGAACCCCTCATACCGTCAGGGTCCTGTTCTCTTTCCCTCCATCCTCTTTGCAATGCAAGTTTAGGGGTATGAGCATAGGGTCAAGGCCTTCAAATTGGCATGCTGAAGCCCCTGTCTAGTTTCAAGCTGAAGAGCTCTCTAATGGGACTCAGCTGTCCTGCCTGATGCCCCCTGTCAGTGTAGGAGCCTCTCTGTGTCACATGCCTATTGCCCTGTTCCTGACATACTTATGCCACCTACAAAATCTGGAGTAGGAGAGTCCAGGAAGGTTACAGCTTCCCCGTGAACCCTTCCTGCTACCACCCTGTTGGCTTGTCACGTTTTCCCCCCCAGAAGGTGCTTGTGATGCTTTGGTGTCACAGTTTTGGAGTCTCTACACTCTCCCATGGTTTCGTCTGGGTTTTGTTTTTTGGTTGAGCAGGCCATTATTACCACACAGCCTAGCATGTCTTGGAACTCATAGTCTTACTTCAGCCTTCCAAGTTCGGAGTCCTACTTCTCTTCCTTCCTTCCTCTTCCCCTTCCTCTTACTCTCCCTTCCTCCTTCCCTTCCTTCCTCCCACCCTCCCTCCCTTGTTCTCTTTTTTCTTTGGCTGAGGATAGGGCTATCCCAACCTGACCTGGAACTCACTGTGTAGTCGGGGCTGACCTCAAACTTGTGGCGATCCTCCTGCTTCAGCCTCTTGAGTGTTGGCAGCCCAGCACATGTGACTGGAACCCCTGCTTTCTAGATCGGTACCATTCTCAATACCTCACACTGGACACTCTCCTCTTCTCTGAGCCTCTGCCCCCTTTGTGAGTTGAGAAGGAGAGCAAGAAGAGAGGCAGGGAGAGCGAGCTGCTGCGTGAGTGAGTATGCTTGCTCCTGGGCTCGATTCTGGCAAGCTCCTGTGTGTGCTAGTAGAGAGACTGCAGGGGCGTGTGGGAGAGCTGCCTCAGTGAGGCTCAGGGCATGTTCCTGTTTACTCGCACAGCTCAGTCTGCCAAGGGCCAGAGCCCACGGTGATGCCTCACATGGCCCTCCTAAATGGGTCACCCTCTATCAATACTGTCTTTCCTCAGACACAGCTATTCCTCTGAAATCTGCCTCCTCCCCCCTCCTTCTCCTGCCCCAATTCCTCTCAGTTAGAGAAGGAAGTACTGACCTCCCTCCCATTTCTGCAAGATAGGGATGGGGACAGGGATGGGGGGAGGGAGTGACGGATAAGCAGGCAGAGTGGAATGAGAACAGGGAAAGAAGAACGAGGCAGGAGTTTGTGAAGATCTGCTCACCCCCGCCTCATGGGAAGCAGCTGTGGGATCCCAGAAGTTCTGGTGGGGAAGATAGTCCACTCAGCACTAAAGGATAGGCCACAGGCAACCCAGGGACCTGTGAAACAACTCTGCTCAGTTTACACTTCTGTCTGGTGAGCAACCCATTGCCATGGAGACAAGCAGGCCCACCTGAGACCCTGTCTTCCCAGAAGAAAGCGGCTCTGACCTGGGAGCTGACAGTCCTTGGAGCTTAATGGAATGGGTCACTCTAGAGAGTTGTATGTGCTTGTCGATGCTGAAGAAGGCTCATTCTCATGAGAAAGGTCAGTTCTGTCTGTACCCCCACCTCCCCACCCACAATCAAGGGGCTGCCTTTGCTCAAATTAGCTCAGTGCTGAGAAATGACACATGCCTTTAATACCAGCATTCTGGAGGCAGATGCAGGTGGATCTCTGTGAGTTTGAGGCCAGCCTGGTCTACATATTGAATTACAGGACAGCCAGACCCTGTTCAAAAAAAAAAAAAAAAACAACCATTGCTGAGACTGAGGATTGTTTAAATATTAACAATTTCATATACTTGAACCTAATAGATATACTATTGATTTACTTCCAAAATTAGGGAGGAATGTTTATTCATTCGAGAATAAGCACAGGGCAGAAAAACTATGGATTTGACAGTCAGGAAATCTGGATTTGAGAGCCATTTGATGGCGGGGTCTGTCACTGTGGACTTCTGGGCTCCCATTGCTCTCATGAGGTGGTTGTTAGGAAGATGTGAACAAACCAACTGGAATATACTCTGCACACAGCAAACGGCCACTCAGGATCATGAACCTGTGTATACGTGTACACGCATATTTATGTATGTAAATTGTTACATGTATGCCTTTATTCTGTGTGACACCATGCACTTTTTGAGACTCAGTTCCTTCCACCTTGTGGTCCCCGGGATTGAACTCAGGCTTCTGTAGCAAATGCCTTTTTCTATGAGCTGTCTTGCCGGCTTTATATGGGACTTAAAAAAAGAAAAATTATTTAATTTTATTTCATGGGCATTGGTGTGAGGGCTTCAGATCCCCTGGAACTGAAGTTACAGACAGTTGTGAAGTGCCATGTGGATGCTGGGGATTGAATTGGAACACCAGCCAGTGTTCTGAACCACTGAGCCATTGCTCCAGCCCTGTGTGTATAGATTTCGTATCTACAGAGAGAAATCAGAAAATGTAAGCCAGGTATGGTAGCGCACACCTGTGATCGATCCCAGCACTCTGGGAGGCAGAGGCAGGAGGATCACTGTGAGTTCAAGGACAGTCTGGTCTACAAATCGAGTCCAGGACAGCCAAGACTACACAGAGAAACCCTGTCTCAGAAAACACAAACAAGAAAAAGAAGTCAGAAAATGTGTTCTTAAACCTTCTGCTATATCCCAGAAAAACGTGTAGCACTTTTGTCCACTTTTATTTTGTTTTGAAGCTGTTAAAGTAGCTATTTTCCCCTACATGGAAGTATATCTTGTGGTTGTGGTGGTATATGCTTGTAATCCTAGCATTTGGGAGCCTGAGGCAGGAGAATCAAGAGGTCAAGGCCAGCCTGGGCTACATAGTAAGTCCATGTCTCAAAAGCAAAACAAGGAGCGGGGAAGATGGCAGCCTAGTAAGTAAAGGGTTGGCTGCAAAAGCATAAGGACCTGAGTTCAAAACCCCAGAGCCAAGCAGAGCTGGGTGTGGTGGTAACAAGTCTGTGATTCCAGTCTTTCTCCGGAGAGATGGGAGGTGAGACAGGAGAATCCCCAGGAGCTCATGGACCAGCTATTCTGGAAAACGCAGTAGCAAACAATAAGAGACTCTGTCTCAACAAGGGAGCAAGAGGTTGTCCTTGACCTTGGCACCAAGGCACACATGTGCCTTCACTCACATGCAGATATATATACATAGATACATACATATGTCATTCACACACACACACAGATTTAATAAACCCTGGAAGTATGTCTTTCATATATAGATGAAATTATATATAATTTATAATAATACATATTGAAAGTCAGAAAACATTTCAAGCAAAGATGTGGCTCACAAAAGTGCTTTCAATCAAGACTTCTTAAACACTGGAAATAGAAAGATCCACCTGATTGAATAATTTATTAATTGCCTCCTGCTGGGGCCCACACGCTAGAGTTCCATTTTTAAATATGCAAGATATTTACTTACACTTCGCTGTGTGTTAGACGTTTTCCCAAAATATTTGAGAGCCGAATCTTTGCAAATTGAATTTCATGGTCAAAGCTCAAGAAAGATAGCTGCTAAAAACAAAGAAAAACCTCTGCCATAAGGGTTATGTAATTAAACGAATAGCCTCTTGTAGGAAAGCTAAATCACTCCTGATTTATATTTTATATGCCATGCTTTCTGTGTGTGTGTGTGTGTGTGTGTGTGTGTGTGTGTGTGTGTGTGTGTGTTATACTGAGCATTGAGCATTGAAACCAGGGCCTCACACATGCTAGGAAATTCTCTTAATTGGCTGGGTGAACATGATATCAAGGTGACTGGTTACCTACTCGTTCTTGGTGGCTGAGTCACTGGCTCACCCTGTGAGGCTGTGGGAGAGAATGAAATTAAAGGGCCTTCAAAAGGCCTGGTTCCCCAGGGGCTGGGGCTCTTCCACATCCTCAGCACTGCTTTTCCCTCCTGGTGTCTCATTGCACTCATTTTATTGGAGGGAATAATGGGTCATGAAAATAAGCAGCTGATGGGCAGGGGAAACTTTCTAGTTTAACCCCTTCACTGCTGAGATCCCCTCAGCTTCCCGAGCAGCTGGGTAGTCAAGAAAGGCAGACAAAATGTTCACAATCTCATAGAGGGTGGTTGACAGAGTTGTGGACCGGGAGGAAGCAATCTCAGGAAGATCTATAGTTGAAGGTATCTTGTGGCTACAGAGTGAGTTTGAGGCCAGCATGGGATAGAACCTGGACCCTGTGTCAAAAAAGGAAACAAAGCCGATGAAGCTGGCCTCAGTAGTGTTATGGTAAAGCAGCAGTCATTTGGACTATTGATTCTTAAAAATACTCTGCAGGGTAAACTCAGGGCTAGATTTCGCCAGGTCTAGATTAGACTAAGGTTAGACATTGATATGATGCCCACATTGTTAAGTTAGTATTTTATGTATGTTCATTCACTCTTAAACTCACACGATAAAGTTGCTAACTGACATAGGGACTGTTTGTGTCAAATTCATAAACAAGGACTCTGGGGAAGCCATACCAGTGATGGCTGTGTCAGATCAAGAACAGGACTCAGACTTGTTTATTTATTGTCCTTTGTGCCGCCATGCCTGGTCTGTGCAGCGTGGGGATCAAGCATGGTACTCTATGCCAGGGAAGCACTCTACCAACTGAACTACGTCCCCAGCCCTGGACAGAGCTCTTCACAGCTGATCCCAGAGGAGGCACAGAGGAAACAGGCGGAACACAGCAGGGAAGGGCAGCTGACATATTCTTACTTTACCCGATGGTGTCTCGGGACCCAGTAAAGGAGACCAGGGCTACACAGAGAACCCCTGCCTCAAAAAACCCAAAAAGTTTGTCATTATTTTTGCTTATTTGCCTGTGTGAATAGATGTCACGTGTGTGCAGGTTCCTGTGGAAGCCAGAGGACTTCACAGGGTTACTTGAAGTGGCGTCACAGATGGTTGTGAGCCACCCAAAGTGGGTGCTGTGAACTGAACTTCTGAAAGACAAGGACGAGCTCTAGCCACTGGGCTGACTCTTCAGACTGACCATCTGTTGAAAAACTTACTTGTTTTAGGTAGATGGGTGCTTTGCCTGCATGCATGTATGTACATCACTTGTGTGCCTGCTGTCTGGGGAGGCCAAAAGAGGACATTGAATCCCCTGAGACTGGAGTTACAAGCAGTAATGAGTCTCTATGTGGGTGCTGGGAATTGAACCCAGGTCCTCTGCAAAAGTTGTCAGTGCTGTTAATCACTGAGCCATCTCTCTAGCCCCCAAAATTCACTTAAAAAAAAAAAGTGCGCTCATGTTTTGTCTTCATGTATGTCAGTGTGAGGGTACCAGATTGCATGGACCTGGAGTCACAGGTGGTTGTGAGCCACCATGTGGTTGCTGGGAATTGAACCCAGGTCCTCTGGAAGAACAACCAGTGCTCTTAACCACTGAGCCATCTCTCCAGCTTCAAACTCACAAAGATCTGCCTGCCTCTGCCTCATGAGTGCTGGGATTAAAGACACACGCCACCACCGCCTGTCCAAAATTTACTTCTTAATCTTTTTTACTTTTTCCTGCCTCCCTCTTTTTCCTTTCTCCTGGGAACAGAACTCAGGGTCTTGTACTTGCTAAGGAAGCTCTCCTGCCATTTTGCGTCCTTCCCACCCTGTCATAACCATTACAGGGACATCAAGTGCACTCGGACACCCGGGCGGCAGCCAGCACCGTGCTAGCCTCAAAACTTTGGTTTTATCTTCTGAAACTGCCTGTGATCCTAGCATCTGTAGGCCACTCCTCCCACCTTCCTGCTGCTGCAGGCTCACTTCCGGGGCTGTATTACTGGCCCCGGGGAAGCACTGACCCCAGTTTTATTCCCCGCCTCTGGGGTGAGATGCCCTGACAGACAGTGGCTGTCCCAGTGCCCTGCCGCCTGCTTCTACACCGAGCATCCAGCAGGCAAATGCTAGACTTTCTAGTTCAGGCGCGGCCGTGTGCTGCCCGCCTCACTAGCTGGGTCTCAACAGGCTTCCCACGCTGGCCTGGGACTTGCCCTCCTCCAGCCCTCTGGGATGATCTTCCTTCTCCTCGTCCGCTTCTACTCTCAGAAACTTGAGTTTATTGAAGACAAAGAAACTTGTGTTTTGCAAAGCAATTAGCAAAATAATTTATTGTTTAAACAGTACATTTTAAGACAGTACATTTTTTAATGTTTTATTAAACATTTTATTTTACTCACTTATGTGTAGGGTCTGGGGAGCTTATGTACCATAGTATGTGTGTAGAGGTTAGGGGACAACATGCAGGGCTCAGAGCTCTCCTTCTGTGTAGGTCCTGGGGATCACATTCAGCTTATATTTGCCAGGAAGCCATCTAGCCAGCTCAATATATATATATATTTGTGCATTTGACTTTTTTGTTTTTTATTTATTTGTTTGTTTGTTGAGACAGGGTTTCTTTGTGCAGCCCTGACTGTCCTGGACTTACTCTGTAGACTGAGGCTGGCCTCTAACTCAGAGATCCACCTGCCTCTGCCTCCCGAGTGCTGGGATTAAAGGTGTTCACCATAGAGCCCTGCTTTTCTTCCTTCCTTCCTTCCTTCCTTCCTTCCTTCCTTCCTTCCTTCCTTCCTTCCTTCCTTCCTACCTCCTCTTCCTTCTTTTTCTTCTTCTGATTGGTTAGGAGCCCCCCCTTTTTTATGCTTAAGAAAATGAAAACCCTGGAAGTTAAAGCTTGTTCACAATGTTAAAACATTAGAACACTTCAAGCAAATCCTCTTTGTTTAAGGAAAAAAAAAAAGAAAGATGTTTTCTCTGCAGCTTCTCCAAGTCCTGTTTCCCTCTGCGAAGCTTAACTTTTTGTTGTTGTTTTTTCAAGACAGGGTTTCTCTGTGTAGCCTTGGCTATCCTGAACTCCCTTTGTAGACCAGGCTGGCCTTGAACTCACCGAGGCCTGCCTCTGCCTCCATCTGAAGTCTTGCTGCCACAACCTCAAAGGAGCATGAGACGTGGCCTGGAGCATGGCCTGGGGCAGCCACCGGGGCAACCTTGGATGGGAGGGAACAGAAGTCCCTGGCTGTGCCCAGTTGCCTTTTTAGCCCAGGCCGGTGTGCTCCAGGAAGAGCCCAGGCTCACTTCTGTTGGAGTGCATACATCTGTGTAAGTGGCATTGTGCTTTGAATGCCCTGCAGGGGTGCCCCTCAAAGGAACCCTGCCGGGGAGTCTTTTGTAAAATGAAAAATCTTTTTGTAAGATGAATAATTGTGTTCTGTTTGTCCGCCCTGGGGGCTCAGGATTTTCTGAGCTTCTGGGAGGGAGGGGGCCTTGTTTGAAGGCCATCTGGCCCACTCCCCTCCCACTGCTCACAGAGCGGGTGCTGAAATTCGCTACCTCAGTGACGGGAATGTCATGATACACACAGCTTTTTGTGCGTGTTAGGGATGGAAACTTGTCTTGGACGATAACAGTGATTGTGTGCTGGTGTGAGCTCAGCTTGATACTCAACCACAGTAAACTTGACCCTGAGTGTGAGGATTGCAGGAGCCTGTCTTCCTTAGTCATTCTTCACAGGCAGGATTTCTCACCCTGATGGTTCACTTTGACTTTGCTAGGTGTCCTGTCCCTCAGCTCTTGACATCTGTGTGACACTGCAAAGAACCCAGCTCTTGAGGAGTGCAGTGTCTGAGGCGGGAGACAGAGACTGTCGTCTCACTGGATCCGTGCACTCACTGGATCTGTACCACTCAAGCTTTTTTGTTAGGGATAAACTTACCATTGTCCGAAATCTCAAAGCCAGGCTGGAATGTTCTACTCCTAAGCCCCAGCCCTCACGAAGCACCTCATGGAGTAGCTACTTTTCATGTCAGGGCTCCGAAGGGGCTAGCGCACCTAAAGAGGAGGGGCCTGACCCCAAACTGACACAACTCTCTCCCTTTCCTCTAGAATTGGTCAGGCATGAAGTGCCAGTTCAAGCTGCTTCGGATGGCTGTGGCCTTGATCTGTAGTGAGTACTGCTGGGCATTTAGGGAGGGGTGTTGGGGAGTGGGGTGCAGGCACTGTCCTTGCCCTTTAAGAGCCTGTGGTAAAAAGAAAAAGTGCGGCCTAGCAGTAATGTGTCCGAGGCAGGAGTATTCTGAGAAAACATTTCTCTTTACACTTGTTGATTCTTCTTAATCTTTTGTTGTTTTGTTTTTTGAGACAGGGTCTTATGTAGTCCGTGTTGGCCTTGAACTCACTAAATAGCCAAGGATGCCCTTGAACTTTTGATTCTTTTTTCCTCACTTCTCAAGTGCTGGGATTAAGGCTGTGTCACCACTAGTTTTTATGTGGAGCTGGGATTTGTGCATGCTGGGCAGGCATTAAACCTTAAAAAGGTATTCGTCTTTTTTTCTGCATGTGTGTCTGTGCCCCTTATACATATCTGGTGCCTAAGGAGGTCGGAGGAGGGTATCAGATCCACTAGAACTCCAGCTATAGGTAGTTATGAGCCACCATGTGGGTGCTGGGAATTGAACCTGGGTCCTCTACAAAAGCAACGAGGCCTCTCAACCACTGAGCCATCTCTCACAGCCCCACTTTTTAAACTTTTTATAGGCATAAGGTATGTAAATGGAAAAGTACCCAGGGACTAGCAAGGTCAAGAAAAATAGCTGAATGACCTTCCTGGGTTGTGAACTTGACCTTTTAGAACATGTGTGTATTGCGTGAGCACTTGTGTGTACATGTACCTTTAAACCTGCAGGGTTGTTTGTTTGTTTGTTTGTTTGTTTGTTTGTTTGTTTGTTTCCGGCTCTAGAGATGGCTCAGATGTTAAGCGCCATCTTACTGTCATTGCAAAGTACCTAGGTTTGGTTCCCACCCCCAACATGGCTGTTCCCAGCTGTCTGTAGCTCCAGTTCCGGGGAATCCAAGCCCTCTTTTGGTCCCTGTGGGCACCGCACGGGCATGTGAACTTACATACAGACAGGTAAAACACTCATACATATCAAATAAAAAAAAAAAAAGAGATTTCTTTTTTTTAAAAACGTGCTGTCTTGCCCGGTGTTGTAAGGCATGTCTACAGTCCTAGCGTTTGGGAAGCTGGGGCCAAAGGGTTGATTTCTTTCTTTTCTCTCCTTAATTTTTAGTGTATAATAGTCATTTGAGAAGTTATTTATGGGGTGCTTGTGAACCAAGGCACAGAACAATCTGAGGGACGCACCATGCTCACGACAGAGCACGGCACAACTTCCATGCACTGAGGTCTTAATGAACGTGTGTTCGCATACAGTTTATGAGAAAGAAGAGTGCTGGGTTTACAGCTGTTCAGATTGCTTAACCTGAATAGGTCAAGGACTCATAAAGAAGTTTTTAAGATGCAGCCTTAGAATCCATAAAGCTATATATGGTAAAGATAGGTACCACAAATGCACGCATCTTTAATTTTTCACAAGTGCATTGAAAAGTTCCAGAATGTCATGAAGATATTAGTTTCATTAACTGTTATGATTATAATCGCTAAGAGACGCTGAAATATAGAGGAAAAGGGTTGAAGTTTTGAAAATTTAAAAATTTTTGTTTATTCACTTTCTTTCTGTGTGTGGGTGTTTTGCCTGCGTGTATGCTTCTGTACCATATGCACGCAGAGGCCACTTAATCCCTTGGAATAAGTTACACACAGTTAGGATCCACTATGTGGGTGCTGGGAATCAGACCTAGGTCCTCTGAAGAGCGGACATTGCAGCTGGGCAGAGGCAGGCGAATCTCTGTGAGTTCACAGCCAGCCTGGTCTACAGAGTGAGTTCCAGGACAGCCGGGGCTACACAGAGAGACCTTGACTGGAAAAACAACAAAGAGCAGCCATAGTTCTTAACTGTTAAGCTGTCTCTCTAGCTCCAAGAGGCCAGCGTGGACTATGTAGAAAAAGATTGTCTCAGGCTGCATCCCCGCCCCATCACACCCCCACCCAAGGAAAAAACCCTTGAGCATTGAGTAGAGCCACAAACTGCAGTGACTCCCATACACACAGCATGGTGCTTGGGACCTCAGGGCAGGGTGGGTCCACTGATTTCACAAGCAGGGCTCGAGGCCTACCAAGTGGAAGAGGGCAGGTCTCAAGCTTTGTGGTACACACCTTTAATCCTAGCACGTGGTAGGCTAAGGCCAAAGGAGCTCTGTGAGTTCAAGGCCAGCCTGGTCTACATAGACAATGCCAGGCCAGCCATATATAGTGAGACTCTGTCTCAGAATGGGGGGGGGGGGCATGCCTGGTAGAGGTATACCATAGGAATAGGCAAGAGATCATGGCAGGGAAAACTAGGGCTTGGGACTGTGAATAGAAATAAAGCCAAAACAATGAGCTGCAAACCTGCAAACCTCAGGATCAGTTAGAGACCCCAACTTAAAAAAAAAAAGTGTAGGGGCTGGAGAGATGGCTCAGTGGTTAGGAGCACCGGCTGCTCTTGCAGAGGACCTGGGTTCAGTTCCCAGCACTGCATTTCCACAGCGGTTTGCTTGCATATATGTGGGGGTGGGGGGGTGCATGTATACAATTTTTAAAAAGTAAAATGGAGAGCTGGGCATGGTGGCGCACGCCTTTGATTCCCGAGCTCAGGAGGCAGAGGCAGTAGAATCCCCATGAGTTCAAGGCCAGCCTGGTCTACAAGGCAAGTCCAGGACAGCCAGGGCTACACAGAGGAACCCTGTGTGTGGAGAGCAATAGAGGAAGACGTGCTATCTTTGGTCCTCCACATATGCGTTCCTAGGTCCGTGTGCATATGAACACACACAGTGAAAAAGGAATGAGACTCAAAGCCTCAAAGACACTTCAGGGGTTCATCCTGAAGTGTAAAGAGGTGAATCTAAAAGGAAGCATGGAGGTAGTAAGAGAAAGGAGAGATCATAATTCTCCTTTAGTTTCCAAAACATGTATGGAGAGCATTTAATTAGGTTTAATTCATAAGTATAAACGAGGTTCAGAGAGTTCCAAGGTCACCCAGCTCAGAGGAAATACACCCAGAATATTTAAATATTCATTCCTTCCCTGTTTCACTTCCAAAATCCCTACTTCTTAATTTAGGCCTTTGGAAAGTCAAGTCTGCCCTAACCAAACAGGAGCATTCTAGGTCTTGTCTTTTTTGTTTAGTTTAGTTTTTTTTTTTCCTCCCATAAAAACTACTTTAAGCATCATAAATCTGGAGCTGGAGAGATGGCTTGGTGGTTAGTAGTACTCACTGCTCTTCTGAAGGGCCTGAGTTCAATTCCAGCAACATACCTGTCCAATGCCATCTTCTGGTGTACCAGTGTACATGCAGACAAAGAACCCATATACATAAAATACAAAAGTAAATGTGTGTGTGTGTGTGTGTGTGTGTGTGTGTGTGTGTGTGTGTGTGTTAAGAGCTAAAACAGTGATGGAGAGGTGGGAACCATCATCCTTTACATCCCATGATACTAGGCAGCAGCAGGAAAGTACCAGCAGGTTGGCATGGCTGAGCATGGCCCCGCTGCTCCTTTTCCACCCTCTGCTGGCTCTCCTTGGAATTGCAGGGCTCTCTGCCGACACCCAGCAGTCGGTCCCCAAAGGGAAGGTTGCAGGGACAAACGGGTAATGATGGAGAGATAAGCGGCCTAACATTCCCCTCAAAGGGCTGTCTCTTAATCTGCCAGATCTGCCTTGCTTTCCTGGTCCGTAAAACAGGGCTATGGATACCTGCTCTCTCAGAGACTGCAGAGAAGGCTCAGTGGTTAGGAGTGCCTGCTGCTCTCCCAGAGCACCCGAGTTCAGTTCCCAGAACCCACACTGAGCAGCTCACAGCGACCTCTAACTCAAGCTCCAACTCTGAGAGATCTATACACTCTGCTGGCCTCAGCAACACTACACACACACACACACACACACACACACACACACACACACACACACACCTGTGATGCAAAATAAAAAGAATACCTACTCTCAGGCAGGCTTTAGGATACATGCCTTTAATCCCAGCACCCGAGGAGACCGATCTCTGTGAGTTCAAGGACAACCTTGTCTACATTGAGTTTCACGATATCCGGGACTGCACAGTGAGGCCACGTGTTGAAAAAAAAGGGTGGGGGGAGAAAAGGAAGGAAGTCCTTTTACTGTGCCTTGGGTGTTGGGATATGGGATGGCTGTGTGTCCTAGCCCTTTTCCTTTCAATGAGACAATATCCCTAGTTGATTGGCTGACTTGGAAAGTTTGTCAAGGGAAGGGTTGGATCATAGTGAAAGTGGGGCTCAGGCTGTGTAATTCCTCCTCTACCCTTATTCCCTCTCTATCTCTTTCTCCTGAGCACAAAGGCACTGGCTCTCAGGGGTTTGGGGGTCTCTGAGAAATACATGGAAATGCTCTCCAGAGTGCAGCATTCAGAGCACGCAGTTGTTGGCCATGTTCTCCTTGTGTAGCCAGGCACACTGCTGCCCAGTCTTTATGCCAGTGGACAGATGAAGAAATGCGCCCGGGATGGAGTGTGGCCACAGAGGTGCCAGGGCCTTTGGACAGAGCTGTGCCTTTCTTGGGGTCTTCTAGCAGAGCCCCTCTCAACATTCAGATGACAGTTCAAACACCTCCTCTTGAGAGGCCCTGTCTTACTCCCCAACGGATGCCCTGCCTTGTGCCCAACATGGATTTTCTGTTGTCTTTTTTTGCCTCGTGTCTGTATCTCTTAATGAAATTGCCTTGTGAATGTAATTGATTGTTGATTTATCGCCAAGCCCCATAGGCTCTTGGGATAGTTTTATCTCCCTGCTGATTGCATTTGGCCTCATGACAGTGACTGAGTTAATGGGTGACTGGGTGGCAGGCATGCCGGGTCTCTTCCCAGCCCCTGCCCAGGACCCTGCCTTGATGTCTCTTTGTCTCCTCCCCTTATAGTGAGTATGGAGTTCGGGAGGGCCGTGTGGCTCCGCTTCCACCCATCGGCTTATCCCCCTTGTCCCCACCCAAGCTTCGTGGCACACTTGGGTGGCGTGGCCGTGGGCATCACGCTTGGCGTGGTTGTTCTAAGAAACTATGAGCAGAGGCTGCAGGACCAGTCGCTATGGTGGATTTTTGTGACCATGTACACCATCTTCGTGCTGTTTGCTGTCTTCTGGAACATCTTTGCCTACACACTGCTGGACTTGAAGCTGCCACCGCCCCCCTAAGGGACTGGAGGACCGAGGCAGGGAGGGGAGGAAGCAGAAGCATCTAGAGGAAATACCTGCATCTGTTTGTCATCACCAATCCGGCGAGACGGGGGAGAACCAGAGACTCTTTGAGCTGGGCTGCATGTGTTTTGATTTGGAAGGATGGTGGGGAGATGGATGTGGCTGCTGTCATTTTCCTAGGCTAGTCTGATGCTCTGGGGCCAGGGGGAAGGCTGGGGGAGGGTGAGAGCGGCTGGCCCTGTGGCTTGGCCCTGTCCCATGTGCTCTCCTCTTACTGCCACAGAATGAGCAAATAGCACTCTTGCTAGTCTTCTACCTGGAGAGACACTGGGACAAACGGAAGGCCTGAGAAAGCCACAGCCAGGCAGCACCCCCCCCCCAACCCAGAGGTAACTGTAGGCTAGGTCATGTTCTCTCTGTGGCTCAAGGTGCTGGGCATTTTGGCCTTGATCTGGAGGAGCCCAGAGCACCCCAGGCTCAGGTCCTGAAAATGGGTGCTGTGCCATGGCCCCTAGAGCTGGGCAGGGAGATACCATAAGCTCCAGGCCTTATTTTTGCCCTGGGGGATCTGAGAGGGTTCCGTGTCTCTGGCAATTAACTTCAACCTACCTTCCCAATGCCCAGGACCAATTTCTCCTCTTCCTGCCTAGGGTTGTGAATGCTGGCATCTCAGACCATTACTTCTGCATCTTTCCCTGCCTGGATTGTGGGGTCTTCTCCCCTCTCTACTGCCCTGACCCAGGGTGTGTGTGTGTGTGTGTGCGTGTGCGCGAGCGCGCAGGTCAGAACCTGCAGAAAGGAAGTTGGGGACAGTGTGCACGTGAGGATTTCTATCTGGGATTTCTGGAATGGGTAGCATCAGTGTGCTGCAGTGTGCTTGCTCAGTGGTCTTGCTTTGAGCATAACTCACTCCCCTTTCCCAAGCATCACCGACCAGCAGAAAAATTGTCCATGCTGGAGGGAAGACCAAAGCCCTACCAGGACCTTTGGGAGGAAATTTTCAGCTGTGTTCTTCTGGTTCCCTCTGGAGTGGCCTTCATGTCTGTCCTGCCTCCTGTTAAAGAGACAGTCCTTGAGATGAAAGAAAGCCTAGGACTGTGATGCTGCAGTCACTTTCCATACGAGCTGCTGACACAGGGGGCTATGGTAAAAGATATTTTGGTGAAAAACGTAGCCCCAGAGAAGACTGTTTTTAAGGCAGAGGAGATTCAGCACTAAGAGCCATTTTTGCCTAGAGCATTCGTGGAGGGATCTGAATCAAAATGTATCTGGGAGCTTAGGTGAGCGTCCAGGGTAAGAGCAGCTGTAGACTTAGATGGTTAGATCTAGAGGGAACTTGGAAGTGATCTTACAGGGAAAGTGAGGTGGAGGGAGGGGTCTTGTGCTGCCCATATCCTAGCACTAGGAGCTGCTGGGAGCCTTAAGTGGAGGCCTGGAGGCAGGTGACCTTTGTATTGCCTTTGGGACTCTCAGCCCCTGAGGGTCCAGGATGAGGAACCACAGACCTAGGAAGTGAGGGGCAGAGCATGAAGGAGCAAGGGCAGGAGGACAGGAACTGTTCCTGGGTCCCCTCCTCATTCCAGCAACTCTGACAGAGGTTAGAGGACTCCTTTCTCCTGAGTCCTTCATCCCCTCCTCTCCAATGTGGCCACCAGTCAGGGCTGGGATTCAGAGGGCTGTGCCGCTCTCGTGTTGATGGTTATAGGTAGGCCTTAAAGGCTAGGGAATCTCCAGAGAGCGGCTATGTAGACTAGTTTGCTTTTAAAGGGGAGAAGACTCATGGAAGCCAGGGAAGGGAAGACAGGCCTTCAAAAAAGAAAAAAAAAAGAAATTTCACTTTAATGACACCATTCATCACTCATTTTTTTAATTAGGAAAAGCTCCCTAACGGGCCTCTTTTGACTCTCAATTTCCACGTGAGCCATTTTTGCCTAGAGCATTAGTGGAGGCATTGCTCACCGAACCAGATCTTCCTCTAGTGTCCAATTCAGTTTGCAGAAAATGAGGATTACCCAGTGCTATGTGCTTCCCAGGGCTGGCTGCAAATTGTTGAATCTCCTCTGCCTTAAAAACAGTGCCCGTTAGTGAGCGGCCCCTCCAAGGACTAAGTAAAAAAACAAAACACTAGCCACAATGTTGGTTTCTAAATATTTTTGTATTGTGTACATTCTGTATATTTTTGTTGTAACATATTATTTGAGCACAGATTCCATTAAAGATTTTTTTTTTTAAGCTATCGATTATTCAGCACATGACCTCAAGGGCTGCTATAGAAGCTGCTTGGTCTGGGTTTCGCTCGTGGTCGGTGGAGGTGAAAACTGGTAGTGGTGGGTTGATGGTTTGGGCACTGGTGGTTGGCATTGTCTTCCCTAACCTTCCCTGAGTGGTTGGCGAAACTGATTGTTCTTCCCCTAAAATCACACCCGTGCATGGAGCTTCGTGGACAGGTTTGCAGGTGAGTGCCAGCGGGTAGGGAACTCAGCCCTAGTGTCAGCCTGGGTTTCTTTCCTCAGGCCTATTTTCTCTCCCACACTTCTAGTTCTAAGTGCCTCACTCTGCACAGCTGTAGGGAATGAAGAAACAGCAAGCTGGGACTGAATGGCCGTGGATGGAGAAGCCACAGCCCCGCTCCACAAGCCTAGAGCGTTTATTACTTAGTACTGAACAGGGAAGCCGGGTTATTGCATCCAGCCGAACAAGGAGGCAAGCGTAGCCAATCTCAGGTAGGCACAGTCTCTGTAGGGGCACAGTCTTCAGGTCCTAACATGTGGAGGGGCAAAAGCCATGGGAGATATTTTCCGCACACACTACCCATGTTCTCACACAGACCAGAAGAAACCATTGCCATCCCTGTGAGCCTCCCCTGGGGAAGGCTTTGCCACTCTCATGAGGTTGACACATTGGGGTTCTTTTTTTTTATATAATTTATTTAATTTTATTTTGTGTGCATTAGTGTGGAGGTGTCAGATTCCTTGGAATTATAGACAGTTTTGAGCTGCTGTATGGGTGCTGGGAATTGAACCCTGGTCTTTTGGAAAAGCAGACAGTGGTCTTAACCACTGAGCCATCTCTCCAGCCCCACTTTGGGGTTCTTAGCATGGCCTTGTCCATGTCAACAACACATTCACTCAGGACTTTATTCATTCCCTACCTAATCATTCATATATATCTACGTACGCATATCTAGATGTATATGACTAATATGATTGTTGTTATTAGAGAAATCCTTAAGATACCCTAGAGACATCGTTCTCTACCTCAGTTAATGTCATCCTTCTAGGGGCCACCAATATCTTAATCTTGAAGAACAGGGCATAATCAGGCTCATATCCAGAAGAGGAAATGAAAGCGGCATACATGTTCAAGGCAAAGCCTGGGTCTTTAGAAGTTTTAACAGCTGAGCCGGCTCAGCATGGATTCGGCCTGGAAAAGCCAACTGTGTGCCCACCATTTCCAGATCAGCAGTGGTCTATGCAGTTTTCCGGTTAACAGCTATTTAAGGCTTGAGGATTAAATCCCGTTAAGTGCAGAGTGGGGACTGTTTCCCTTCACATCGGTTTCCTGTATATTATTGAAAACTGTGTCCAACCACTGTAGGAGCCACCCTAGAACTGACATCGAGAGTGCAGTTAGTTGAGGCTAAGTGAACGCCCACTTCTGCTTGGGAGAGCAGAGCTGGGCTGCTGCAGAGACTCTGCTGGGCCTCCCGGGAGAACCAAACGCTGCTTAATTAAATTTGCCTTTGGCCTCCTCCCATTCTCCTTCACTTTTCTGTTTGTTTGTTTTTCCCTTCTGTCAGATTCTCATTCACCAAATGGCTTACTAAGATGCTTACAAATGGTAATTTTAAAAATTAAAACAAGCCGGGCGTGGTAGCACAAGCCCTGGAGTCCAGCATCCCAGGAAGAGACCAGCCCTGAGTCTGAAGACAGCAAGGGCTTTTCAGAGAAAGCCTGCCAGCAGTGGGGTGGGAGGGGAAGAAACAGTTTACTAAGTTCCTGCTTATGCTGGATAATGAGGTAGGTATTTTCATAGCTAATGTTTTGTCTTTTGAGATAGAGTCTCACTATTGTGGCCCTGGTTTGCCTGGATGATTTTAAACACAGAGACCCACCTGCCTCTGCCTCCTAAGTGCCTGGATTAAAGGAGTACGCCACTACACTTGGCCATCGCCATAGCTGCTTCATGTGAAATGCTTATGCGCCATCCCACATTTGTACAAGAGTGGAAGACTCGTCTCATACTGATAGTAAAGAGTATGCTGGCTCCATACCCAGGCCTTCTGTTTCCAAGGGTTACATTCTTGGTCCCTGGATATTGCATGGAACTTCAAGGGCATTACGCCGTACATAGAATAGTGTTAAAAGAGGCCAGCCAGGCGGTTATGGTGCACTTCAGAGGCAGAGGCAGGTGGATCTCCAAGTTCGAGGCCAGTCTGGTCTGCAGAGCGAGTCCAGGACAGCCAAGGCTACACAGAGAAACCCTGTCTCAGAAAAACAAAACAAGCAAAATATGTTTTCCCCTTCCCGTGCATTCAAACAGGTGATTTGTTTCCTCACACGTCTTAGTGTATATATATACAGGTACCTCTGTGTATGTGGTGTGTAAAAAGTATAATTTCCCCATAAACTTATGGGAAAATATTAAAGGTGAGAATTGTGCTCCATTAGGTAAAAATACTTACCTTGATTAGAAGATGTGTTTTTACAAGATACAGTTACAGTTTTGATACAAGGCAAACATATATTCCCTGTGTATTGCACACAAGTACAAGTTTATTCAATGTCTGAACAAACATTTTTAAACCTTTAAAATTTAATACATTTACTTATTAAAATTTGAATACAGTACAGGTTTAAGCTGTTTCTTAGGACCAACAAAATAATTCCATGACATCTTTTTTTCTTATCTTTAATAGTCGTACAGAATTTGTCAAAGATTCTTTTTAAACATAAGACTACTATATACAGCAGGGCATGGTGGCACACACCTGTAATCCCAGTCCTCAGGGAGGCAGAGGCAGGTGATCTCTGTGAGCTCAAGGCCAGCCTTGTCTACAAAGGGAGTCTAGGACAGCCAAGGCTACACAGAGAAGCCCTGTCTCGGGAAAACAAAAGTGCCATAACAGTTGTGGCCCTATGTAACAAAGAAAGTACCTAGAAATAAAGACTATAGCTATGCTTTGCCTATATCCAAATGATTCAACGTGTTTGCTTTTATTTTTATTTTATTACTATTACTATTGTTACTGGTTTTTCAAGACAAAAGAGTATATCTGCGTAGCCCTGGCTGTCCTGGAACTCACTCTGTAGACCAGGCTGACCTCCAACGCAGAGATCTGCCCACTTCTGCCCCCTAAGTGATGGGATTAAAGGCATGTATCAGCACTGCCTAGCTTGCATTTGCTTTTATTTTTATTATTGTTTTCTACGTATGTTTGTGTAAACAAACACAAAGGTGAGAGGTCAACCCTAGGGTATCAATCCTCAGAAGCCATCTACCTTTCTGTTTTCCTGTTGGATAATGAATTAATTACTTAGCTTTGAGGGATGAATGTGCAGAGGTCAAAGAGCAGCTTTCGGGAGTGGGCTCTCCTTCCACCATCACACAGGCTCTGGCTAGAACTCAGGCCATCAGACCTGAGACCAGGGCCTTTAACCACCGAGCTATCTCTCTGGCCCAGTGTTTGTTCCTTGGTCAGATAAGGCCCCTGGCTGGCCTAAAGCTTACCAAGTCAGCTAGGCTGGGAAGAAGGAACTGTCTCTGCCTCACCAGGGCTGGCATTACAGCGCTCGCTACTACACTTGGCTTTGGAGTAGGTTCTGAGGACCAAACTCAGGTCCTCATGCTTGCATGGCAAGTGGCAAGGACTTTGCACTGAGTTATTTCTCTAGCCCCTACATTTATTTTTAGATGCCATTTGCCAAGGACTCTTGTGAATTTGAAAAGATCATTGTTTTATAGACTCCAGATGTTGATGTTCCAATGTTGCTCATTTTTACAAAATGATTTCCAAGTGGGAACCAAGTGCATTAGGAAAAGATTCAAACTGAGTGCCATAGTCACATGGCTATAAAAATGCCACTTAGATTCTTTTCTATACTGCCTATAATCCAAGTTATTAAACTTTAAAGCATATGAAAGCATTTATGAAGATCTTGAATTGTATTTCTCATTAAAGGGAAAGAAAGGACACGGTGATTCATGTCCCTAGACTGACTTATGGAGAAGGGAAGGCAGAAGGCCACTGTTAGAACTCAGCAGCGTTTACAAGCAGTTAAGAGTTCCTTGGTTTTGCAGACTTGTGTTCCTTTGAGCATCCTGAAAGCAGGGAGAACACAAGGCTGTTGATTTTCTAAACCAAAATCATTATCAAGTGGATTTATTAAAGCGCTATGCAGAACAGCTAGGTGTATGGTTGCAGCTGGCATCCATGGGGGTTAGGAAAGGCTACCCAAGGGCACTCACAATTGATTCAGGGCAAAACCATCTGAGGCTGTAACACAGGCATAAAAAACTAAAATCAATGAGCTACTGTGATGGGAAAATTTTGTTTGCATTTTTTAATTTTTAAAATATTCTTTATTTACTTATTTATTGAGACAGGGTATATAGCTCTGTAGCTCTGGCTATCGTCAAAGTTGTTATGTAAATCAGTAAATCAGCTGGCCCTGAACTCAGGGAGCTGCAACTGCCTCTGGCATGTGGAGGGTTGCAGTCAAAGACAAGAATCACCATATCTGGCCTTTAGTTTGCATTCTTACATTTGTTTGTAAATGGTATTTCCTATATTTACTCTATTTTTCTTAATACTGTTTAAGAACTCCAGACTTTTCACCTAAAAATAAGGAAGAAAATACAGGCTCCTGGCAAATTAATACCTGTAAATGATGTGGCGGTTTCCACAATGGCTTTTGTTGTTGTTGTTTGTTTTTATTTTTTTGGAGACAGGATCTCTTTGGGTGGCCTTGGCTGTCCTGGACTCACTTGTGGACCTGGCTGGCCTCGAACTCCCAGATGTCCGGCTGCCTCTGCCCCCAGGTGGCTGGGATCACGGACATGCACCATCTCACAATAGCTCTTCATCACAGAGAATGTTTCATATGGAAGCTAGTACAGGCATTTCTTTCTTTTCTTTTTTTGGTCTTAGATTTTATTTTATGTGTGTGTGTTGCCCGCATGTATGTCTGTATACTACATGTGTGCCTAATGCTCAAGGGGGTCCAAACAGGGTGTTAAATCCCCTGGAATTGAGGTTACACATGGTTACTCCTGAACCTCGCTCCTCCCCAGGAGGACAGTCTCTTAACCACCTGGCCACCTCTCCAGGACACCGATTCTTATTTCTTTAGTGTGTGCATGTATGTGTGTAGTCAGAGGGAATTGAGGGAGTTGGTTCTCTCCCACTGTGTGAGCCCTGAGGCCCTAACTTACTTTGTCAGACTGGGTGGCAGGCTTCTTAACCTTCTCAGCCATCTTGCCAGCTCAAAAGCATCTATATATAAAGTTCATTTTTATTTTTTAAAAGATTTATTTATTATGTATACAGTGATCTGCCTGCATGTGATCTCATTATAGATGGTCATGAGCCACCATGTGGTTGCTGGGAGTTGAACTCAGGACCTCTGGGAGAGCAACCGGTGCTCTTAACCTCTGAGCCATCTCTCCAGCCCCTAAAGCTCATTTTTAAATTCTTATGCACTCATGATTTATTTGCACATTGGCTTTAAAAGGTGGCTTCCTCATTCATGCCAACCACAGATGTATATCTGGCACCCACAGGATGAACAGCTTGTCTCTGAAGGGCTATGTTGGTGCTGTAAGACCAGGATGATGATGACTACCACGTGGCCCAAGTTGGACACAAACTTACTTTGTAGCTCAGGCTGGCCTGGAACCTTGGAAACTGAGAACCTCCTGTCTCAATCTCCTGAGTAGCTGGGATTATAGATATGTGTCATCACATCCCACTAGGATCACATATTTCAAAAAATTCTACCATCTACTGAGAAAGAGTTACTATGTTTCTTTTTGAGGAGGAACGCCTGCTAATACTACAGTAAGCTCCTGAGAAGCCAAAAATCACCACCAGAGCTTTTTAGGCAGCATGTGTTTGAAGCTTAGGATTTATGAGACTAGCAATGCAGCAACATTCCACAGCTGTAACACAGCACTTGCCTCGGACTCAGTGAAGATATTCCTCATATTTTTTGTGTTTAATTAAATTACCCCAAAAAAAATGTACAAAAGGAAGAACCTGCGGTGTTTCCAGTCATCTTAAGAGCAGTGTAATCCTATAATTGATGACAACTACAGTTCCACACATGCACCCTCAATACACACCATCAGTGTCCTCAACACAGGGTCAAAACTTCAGACAAGCACTTCACCCATGAATTCTTCAAGGACAGCCACCACGCTTTTAGCTTCAGGCATTTCTTCATGTTCCACTTTAACAATCTTCAAAAGGATATCTCCACTGCCACAGTTCTTAAGGAACATGTAACATTTAAACAAAGCATAATGATTCATCTCTGCCTGTCGGATAAATCTCTTCAAATTGTTTGTGTCTTGTATGGCCTAGAAAAGATTACGAAGTTAAATACGTTTAGTAAGACGATGATTCGTGAAAAATACCCCCTCTCTAGCTGAGCACTCAGTGTATGCTGATAATGTTGGCTTTTGTTCTGTTTTATTATTTTGAGACAGGGTCTCACTATATAACTTACTTTGTAGACCAGATGGATCTCACAGAGATCCATCTGCCTGTACCATCTGAGTGCTAGGATTAAAGGTGTGCACTACCACACCCTGCTAACGCTGAGCTTTTTTAAAATACCCCATTATTCCTATTCTAACATGCTTTCTTTACCTTTGGCGTAAGAGTCTCACATTTAAAAAGGCTTTTAAAAATATCTCCTAAGGTGACAGCACTCACCTGCCAGAATTTGAAATCATTTATTTCTGTGTTTTGCAACTGAGATGCATCACAATTATCAGCTTGATGTCCCCTAAATATAAGCAAGCGATTCACCACAAAGCATGGGGAATGAAATGGCATGCATGCAATGCTGCTGGTCAGCAGACACCGTCTGTGTTCTGAGCTCTGAGGATGCCCCATTGAAAGGACACTGTGACTGTAAGAGCCCATCTCTGATGCTATCACCTGCAATAATTAGATTCAAACAAAAACATTGTAGGTGGCCCTTGGCACACAGTCAATTCATTACCTTTAGTTTAAAGTTCTCCAGAACTTGTCTGAAAAGAAAAGGGTTACCCGCTTCAGCACCATGTAAGAAAGCCTGCATCCAGTCCTCACAAAAACGGTTGCTTCCTAAATAACAGTAAATACAGGAAATTAAATACCACAAAGCACGTGCGTCAGTTTTTAAAGATTTTGCTCTTGTTACTTTTAATTATGTATATATGTGTGTGTGTGTGTGTGTGTGTGTGTGTGCACATGAGTATAGGTGCCTGAGGAAGCCAGAAGTGGGCTGATACGCCCTCCTCCTTGATGCCCCATCAGTGCTGGGAACTGAACTCTTGTTCTCTGAAAGAGCAGCACATGCTATTAACCACCAAGCCATCTATCCATTCCTAGCACGAATTTCTTTATAAAAACATTTATAAATAATTATTTACAACTTGTGTTGTGGCTTCAAAATTAGCTGAGAAATGCCCAAACAGTTAAAGCCCTATAATGGCACTCCCCTTTTTCCCATCAGAAAGGGCTAGCCGTCATTCCTACATACACTTCAAGCTTTGGCTGCCTGCCCTACCTTATACATGTATTGTTTTGTATATGTTACAGCTTTGTGTGTTTTTCTTAGTGGGTGTTTCACCAGACAGTATGTTTCAGAGCCATATTAACATATATTTCTAGTTCACTTTTAGCCGCTCTACATTCTATACTGTGAATTAGCAGTTTATTGATTTCCTGTTATAAACATTTGGTTTACTTCCAATTTGTTATATCAAAAAGTGCCTTTAGAAGATGGGTATATTGGTGCATTTAATTCCAGCACTTGGGAGGCAGGAGCAGGTGGATCACTGTGAGTTCCAGAACAGTCAGGACTACATAAAGAGATCTATGTCAACAAAACAAAAGGTACTTTTAAAATACTTTTAAAGCTGTTTGGTTGTGTACTCCTGTTCTCCCAAAATTTGGGAGGCAGTCTAGTTTATGTAGATAGTTCTAGGTTTTTGAAAAAAAAAAAGGCTGCTAGGTATGGCCCTACACCTTTAATCCTAGCAGTCAGAAGTAGGCAGAGTTTGAGGATAGCCAGACTTACACACTTACACAGTGAGATCCTGTCTCAAAAAAAAAAAAAAAAAAGTCTTTTTGGAGGGTTAGAGAGATGACTCAGTAAAAAAAAAAAAAGGACTTTCCACATAGCATGAGGACCTGAATCAGAACCTCTGGACCCTGCAAAGGCTGATACACAGTACAAGTATCTGTAATCTCAGCATCTGTATGGACACGGGGACGGGAGAAATCCCCAAAAGTTCACAGGCCAGCTGTGCTCACATACACAGCAGGTAACAACGAAACAGACTCTACATACAACTGTAACACTTACCCTTGTGCTCACACACAAACTTGCACATGCAAGTGCGCGCGCGCACAGACACACACACACACACACACAAACACACACACAAAACTTTTATGTGGGGCCAGCAAGGTGGCTCAGTGGATCAAGCCTGAGTTTGATTCTAGAAACCCAAATGGTAGGAGAAAAACCATTCCCCAAAATTTGCCCTCTGATCTTGGAACATCCTCATATACACCCACAAAGTAAATAAATAAATGTTTCAAAATGCCCTTAGGGCTGGGGAGGTGGCTCAGGAGAGAAGGCATGTTGCCGTGCAAGAAGGAGGTGCTGATATCAGCTCTCCAGCGTCCACATAAGGCCAGAGGTGGAAGTGTGCATCTGAAATCCCACTGCTCTGATGTTGAGATAGAAGGTGTAGACAGTAAAATGCCTAGAGCCTTGAGGGTCAGCTAGATTGACACACACAGCAGCCAATGAGAAGCTGTCTCAGACACAGTAGAGGGTGAGGACTGGCCCCACATGTGTGCTAGGATACACATGTGTTTGCACTCACTCACAAACACACACACACTAAATAAAAGGCTTTACAGCTTACAGGAAGTGGATGCAATGCACACCTTTAATCCCAGCATTCAGGAGGTACAGTGTGGTCTACATAGTGAGTCCCAGGACTACTACACAGAAAAACTCTGTCTTGAAAAACAAAACAAACAAACAAATGCCTGTAAGCCAGGCATAGTGATGAATGTCTATAATCTCAGCACTTGAGAGATAAAGGTAGGAAGTTGAGAAGTTCAAGGCCAGAATAGCCTACAAGAAACCCTTTCTCAAAAGCAATCAACCAACTAAACAATCAAAACTAAGCCTTCATATGATACATACTTATGATGCTAAGAGGGCTAAGGCAGAGGGGTCATCAGCTCAAGGCCAAGCTGGATTACACCTGTCTCAAAGGAACAAGATTTAAAAATGCCTTTATGAGGGTTCTTTTTATTTGTCCCTATGTACACATAAGAGCTTATATGCACAGAGAGGAATACCAGGCCTGACTGGAGCCCCATGTTTCTAGGCTTGTTAAGATTTCAGCAGACTTAGAACTACAAAAGAAGGACACGTCTGCATCTCGTGTTTTCAGGGCAAGGGGTTCGCAAACAATGCTTCTAGGTTTCCAACTCACCTGCATTGTGGAACTGAGGCTGGGGCCCGCTACAGTCAATGATCACAGACTTACACTGCCCCTCCGTCATGGCCATGCATAAAGAGGTCATAGTGCCTTCATGAATAAGTCCTTGGAGACTGGCCACACTCAGAAACCTGTCACATATACAAGTCTTTTTTCTACAAACAACATTGCAGAGCAGGAGAAAACAAATGCATTCTCTACGGGGCGTGGGAGGTTAAAATGTAGCTGTGGGGATGGCAGGGTGGAGCTTTCAGAAAGTGTGTTCTTTACCTGTTAATGTCTCTCTTTGTCTTTTCATCTGATTCTTTAAGTTCAACAGGAGTATAACTTAGAGCCTACGAGAGAAAGAGGGAGAAGGAGCCAGTTTGATGCTTAATCTTCACCGACCCACCATTCCCAACCATTGTCCCCTGTGTGATGGGCACTACCCATTGCACCTTTTGCAAGTGCTCTAAGCTAAAGCCCTGCTCAGTAATGTGGGGTTTTTTTGTTTGTTTTGTAACTTATTTATTAGTATGGTTTATTTTAACACAGTCTTCCTATGCAGCATAGGCTATCCTGGAACTCCGGATCCTCCAGCCTCAGTTTCTCTAATGCTAGGATTATAAGCAAGAGTCTCCATGTTAACATTTTCAGCATTTATTTACTTCCTCATTTTTTTTTTAAAGATTTTCTTTATTTATTTTGAATGCTCTACATGCATGTACATCTGCATGTCAGAAGAGGGCAGTAGAGGGTATAGATGGTTGTGAGCCATCATGTGGTTGCTGGGAATTGGACTCAAGACCTCCGGAAGAGCAGACAGAGGTCTTTACTGAGCCACCTCTCCAGCTTTACTTCCTTATTTTAATGGGGGCTGTATGCATGCATGGCATCATGTGGGGGTCAGAGGTCAATTTTGAGAAGTCAGTGTTCTCCTTCCAGCATGAGGGTTCCAGGGATTGAACACAGGTTGTCCAGTTCAGCAGCAAGTGCCCTATCTATTACACTGCTCCCAAATCTATCTAATGTTAATTTAGTGTGTGTGTGTGTGCGTGCATGTGTGTAAAAGTGTCAAAGAGTATACGTGGAAGTCAGGGTAATTCTGGGATTTGGTTCTCTCCTGCCACCTTGAACTATGGTCATCAGGCTTATATGGGGCCCAAAGTTAAAATTATTTCTCTCTTTGCCTTTTCATTTTCAACTCTTCTGGAAATGGCACCTGTCTCCCATCATCTCCAACAGTAACTGTTTCAGGCACATGTGGCTGGGCAGGTCTCTAATCTCAGCACTCAAGAAGCCGAGGCACATGAGACTGAAAGTTTTGGGTCAAGGCCGGGGAAATGACTTAGGGAGCAAAAGCTGTTCAAGCCAGACAGCCTGAGTGCAGTCCCTGAACCCACAGAAAAAGCCAGATTTGGAAAGGCAGGTGCTATAATGCATCCCAGTAATCCCAGCACAGAGGCAGGCAGATCTCTGTGAGTTTTAAGTCAGCCTGGTCTACAAATGGAGTTCAAGACAGCCAGGGCTACACAGAGAAACCCTATCTCAAACAAACAAATAAAAGAAGCCAGATTTGGGGGTCTGCATTATAAACTCCTATGGTGACATAGAAGGCAGAGACAATGAGCAGAAAGCTCAAGGGCCAGCCAGCCTGTAGTGTTTCACACAGAAACAAAATGGAAGATAAGGACAAACTTCCTCTGAACACACACACACACACACACACACACACACACACACACACACACACAATTTAAGTCTTTTCTTTAAAAAGTTAAGGCATCCTACACTACACAGGGAGGCCCTTTCTTATTTATCTACTTGTCTGTTTATTTATTTACGGTCCTGGAACTCACTGTACATCAGGCTGGCCTCAAACTCAGAGATCCACTTGCCTCTGGGATTACAGGTGTGTGCCACACCTGCCTATTATTTTTTAATGTGAAGACCCCAATGGTTTTTTCAGTGGGACAGGGCCTCCCATAAATAAGGTGGGTATTAAACTCTCTGGAGCTAAGGCTGGTCTTAACCTTCTGATTTTCCTGCTTCCATCTCCCCAGTGCTGGGAGCATAGACATGCACCAGCACAGCTTGATTGAAAGCACATTGTTTGGTTGGTTGGTTTTTGTTTTGTTTTTTTTTGAGAGAGGGTTTCTCTGTGTAGCCTTGGCTGTCCTGAACTTGCTTTGTAGACCAGGCTGGCCTTGAATTCACAGAGATCCGTCTGCCTCTGCCTCCCAAGTGCAGGGATTAAAGTGGTGTACTACCATACCCAGCTGAAAGCACATTTCTTAATGCCATTTTTTCAAATGACCCAGCTGACATTTACAACTCAACCCCACCTTAGTAATAAAACTGGTCTAGATGGGAGTCAATAAGATATAGTGTAAACAGCAAATATAACCTGAAGAAATATTCAGGAAGGGAAAAATAATGTTTAGAGAAAATAAGTATGTTTCTAAATGATCCAAGGTCTGCCCGAGAGATTTAATTGGGAATGCCCTTTCATGAGCATTACTTACGGCATGTAGCAGAAAGGTCAGTTTCTCCTGAAAGAGAAGAACCACCCTTTGGATCGGACACACCACATCCTCATACCAGCTGTTCAGATAGGACTTGACATCATTCCCCAGGTTCCTTCCCTAGATCAAGACAGAATATCATTTGCCTTGCTATCATAAACGCCTTTACTAAATATACTTCTTCTTCAATACACCCAATGCATTTTGGGTATGTGTAAGCTAATGGTTAACCTCAGGTGTCTCCCTCAATTGCTCTCCACCTTATTTTTTAAATTACATTTTTGGACGTGGGGTGGTGGTGGTGGACACATTTGTATCATGGCGTCTGTGTATAGAGCAAAGAACAACTTGCAGAAGTCAATTCTGGCCTTCAAGCATATGGGTGCAGGAGAATGAACTCAGTCTTCAGTCTTGGTGGCAGGTAGCATCTCTCCAGCTTCTCCATCTTATTTCTGGAGACAGAGCATCTCATTGAACCTGAAGCTCACTGATTTGGCTAGGCTGGTTGACCAGTGAGGTTCAGGGATCTGTCTTCACAGCTTGAGTACTGGGATTACAGGTACATGTCAGCACACCCAAGTTTTTATGTGTATGTGGATACTAGGAGTCCAAACTCAGCACATACAAGCACTCTACATATTAAGCCACTTGCTTAAATATAATTTTTTCTATTTTATTTTTATTTATATGTATGTATGTATGTGTGTTGGTGTGGAGGCATACTAGATTCTGAAGGGGGTGCTGAATCCTCTGGATCTGGAGTTGTAAGTGGTTATGAACAACCAGACTTGGGTGCTGAGAAATGAACTCTGGTCTTCTGGCCTCAAACTCAGAGATCCTCCTGCCTCTGCCTCCTGAGTGTTGGGATTAAAAGCATGCATCACAACCTAGTCATTCTTTTTTTCTTTAACACAATAAGCAATAAAATGAATTGTGAGCTATGCATCTTGGTGCATACCTATAATCTCAACACTTGGAAGACTGAAACAGGAATATCTCAAGTTCAAGGCTACTCTGGACTAAAAAGTGAGTTTTCAATTCAGGCTGTAGAACAAGACTCTCTCTCAAAAACTGAATTTGAAAGTTTTTCTGGGAGGTTGGACTGAAGAAACAGGGTCCTATGCAGTTCTTCACTGCATCCACACTCCCTGGAGAGATCCTCGAAATAACCCCATTTCTCCATCCTGACTATATGCTGTGTCTGCAACATGCATAGTATGAACTGCCTGCCACTGAGCGAATCAGGGTGTAGACAGTGTGCTCAACTCAGGATGTGAATAAGGAGAGATACAAGGAACTAAAGTACAGAAGCCCACTAGCTACCAGACATGCTTCATGAGCACATCTAGCTCTCCAGACTGTGCTCATCTCTGGGGACCCTGTCACGTGGGAAGAGCTCCAGTCTGGAAGAGCAGGACCCTAGACTCAAATCCCTGGTTCATGCATCTGTAGTCCTTTCCTCTCCTCTTGCAGTAGCTTATAAGTATGTGCCAAGTAGACAGAACTATTGCTGCATGGAATGGGTAATACGCTTATGAGAGTCTCAGGTAATAGCTGCTGCAAGCTAAGGCGGAGTTTTTTCAAAGTCTCACATAAATCAGGTGGGTGTTAAGCTGTAGCTGAGGCAGGCCTTAGCCTCCTGATTCTCCTGTTTCTATCCCCCCAGTGCTGGTATAGACATGCACCAGCACAGCTGGCTTGAAAGCATAGTTCTGACAGGTTTGGATAAATTAGCATATCTCTGATGCCACAGGCTGCAAAGACTGTGCTAATCAAAATATAGATCCTATGTGCCTAGAAATCAGATAAAAGGCCTCTTCTTCCCCACCAGGTATGTTATTAACTACCACTGATTTTTACATAGATTTGTCTTTGTTTTTACATTTTATTCTGTGTATGTATGCACTCTTGTGTCATGCATATGCGGAGGTCAGACAACACCCCATGGAAATCAGTTCCCTTCTTCCACAATGTGAATACTGGGTGTCAAATTCAGATAGTCAGACTTGGTGGCAGGCACATTTAATTTAAGCCATATCACCAGCTGTGTTTTGTTATTTTATTTTATTTGTGTGGATGTTTTGCCTGCATGTATGTCTGTGAAACACTTATATGTCTGGTGCCCAAAGAGGTGAGAAGAGGATGTCAGATCCCCTGGAACAGGAGATATAGATGGTTGTGAGTTGCCATGGGAGTGCTGGGATTTGATCCTGGGTCCACTGGAAGAGCAGCTAGTGCTCTAACCACTGGGCAATCTTTCCAGCTCCTTGTTTTGCTTTTGAGACAGGGTCCACTATGTAGCCCTGGCTGGCTTGGAATTCACTATGTAGACTAGCCTAGTCTCAAACTGTGCCTCCCAAATGCTGGGATGGCAGGTGTGGGTTTCCACAATTGGATTTAACGTTAAAATTTTCATTGGTGCAACACATCAAAAGCAGAATCATGAAACCTTTAGCACCTGTAACACAGTTGCATTTCCTACTTGTGTACACATTATTGCTCTACTACCCACAAGGTAAGGATTTTAGAAGTGAAGTGTCTGCTGGCTACCAAGCCATGGTAAGTTCATCACTTCAGTCTTAACAAGCTTGTCAGCCATCTTACCTCACAAGTCATGTTACTTTTCAGCCCTTGAATATACTTGTCCAATTCAAGCCTGAAAGTATAGTCTTAAGGAAGAGATACAGAATGATCAATCAGTATTTTACTTCTCAGCAAGATATACAAGGTCTCACCAGGCATAGTGGCGCACGCCTTTAATCTTACCAGCACTCAGGGAGGCAGAGGCAGCTGGATCACTGTGAGTTTGTGGCCAGCCTGGTCTACAAAGTGAGTCCAGCACAGCCAAGGCTATACAGAGAAACCCTGTCTTAAAAAAACAAAACAAACAAACAAAAAAGAAATACAAGGTCTCACGGTACACCTTTAATTCTAGCACTCAGTGTCAGAAGCAGGTGGATCTCTGTAAATTCAAGGCCAGCCTGGTCTACATAGTGAGTTCACAACAGCCAGGACTACAAAGTGAGACCCTGTCTCAAAAAAGGAAAAGAAAAGAAAAAAGACAAGGTTTCTCAATTTTAATACAATATGAATCAAGACAAGCCTAGGCAAGTCGCCACAACTGACATCCAGACATACTCTTAAGGTTGGAGAGGGTGGTGGCTACTTGCCCCTTGCCCCACTGTTCTCCCTCCTGACACCCTCAAACACCAGGGAAAGGATATAGCTCCAGTCCTTTTTCAGAGCCTCCTAAGAAGCAGACCACATACTCGGAAGGGTTATATTCAGATTCCACTGCTGCTATCTCAGAAGGCAGTTTTTCCTGTTGGAAAAGGCAGTAATAACAACCAACTCGGTAACCTGGAGTTCTAGAAGAGAAGGAAAAAGTAAGGTGGAGCATCCGGGTACTCACGCTCCTCGCTCTGTAGATGCTCAGAAGCCTGGTCTTGATCTGGTAACCGTTCAGATCACCCCTCAGGCAGAACCCCCAGCCTTCTTATCTTACTTGTCTCTGAAAAGGAGCGTGGCTGTACCCCCGGGAGGTTCACTAAGCAGCTACAGGCCAGGTGTGCTGATGCACCGCAATCCCAGCACCGGGAGGCAGACACAAGAAACCTCCGTGAGTTCAAGAACCTGGTCTACATGGTGAGTTCCACACCAGTCAGGGTTACATGGTGAGACCTTGTCTCAAAAAACAATCAAACCAGACTCTAACAGATCCACTGCATTCTACTGTCTTATGTGAAAAATCCAGCAGTAACTTTATCCATGGGCCACAGGTACATACTCCTAAGGGGACCTACATTTGAACAAACGCCTTGTCTGAAGGAATGTATTGGCCAGACAGCTGGAATCAGGCTGAGGGTATCTGTGTAAGCCTGACCTCCCCGTGACCGTGGACTTCCAAGTTAACACTTCTCTGTGTTAACTTCCTCACTGGAAAATAAGATACCTGCCCCATCTCCCCTTGTAAGAAGAACTACATCAGCATTTGTGAAAGCACACTACAAGCTGGAGGCATACAATTTCCACTTGTGTGATTAACTATTTTTAAATGATGCATGGAAGGACTAGAGAACTTTGCACACACTAGGTAAATACTCTACATCAGGGCTGTCTCCAGCCTTGGATTCTTTTGTCTCAGAATAAAACAGACTGAAGTACACCTATATGTCAGAATGTCACTCAGTCTAACTTTACCACGTTTATGTGTAGAGACAGCGCCCTGGCTGTAAGTGGGAAGGGAGGAGGTGCTAGAGAGCAGAAAACAAAGATGTTTTCTGCAGTTCTAGATCTTCTCAGTTTCTCCACAGTTCTCATGTTTAGCTCAGAAATAAAAACACAGGAGACAGCATGTTTTATACTGACCTCAGCTCTACAGATGCAACATTACCCAGCCCTTCAAAGAACGCTCCCTTGGAAAGACGCTTAGCAATGAAACTGCGTAGCTCAGGCTCCACTTCAGACGGTAGGTTAGTCTCCACCAGGGAGAGGCTAGACAAATGAAAGACACACTCCTTACCAGCAGTACATTCACACCCATAAGTCAGAAATAATGAACCAAAGCCAGGGCCTCCATCTCTCTCTCAATAGGACCCCTGTGCAGCCCAGGCTGGTCTTGAACCAGCTACATAACCTCAAACTTGCCCCAGGCTCTCAAGTGTTAGAATTACAGCTGTGTATTAGGGTCTCTCTAAGAATGCTGTCAGTTGGGCAAACGTGGTATACGGTGCACCCCTTTAATCCCAGTACTTGGGCAGCAGAGGCAGGTGTATCTCTGTGAGTTTAAGGCCAGAACAGCCAGGGCTATTACACAGAGAAACCCTGTCTTCCAAAAAAAAAAAAAAAAAAAAAAGGAATGCTGATAACCCTGTTGGTGAGGGGTATTGTTTAGATTCTGAATGTCCCAGACCATATTGCTATCGGAAGTATTAGAACCTGTAGGAGGTAGGAGGAATGAAGTCACAGGATGTATGATCCTAATAACATACCAGAACCCTGACTGGTTGGCCAGATGGTTGGAAGCCTGCCTGTCTCCCTCCCTTTTTGCACTTCTCCCTAGCTGCCATGAAATTAACAGGCTTTCTGCCATGTGTTCCTGCCATGAACCCCTGCTGCCACAGGCTCACAGGCAACAGGGCCAAGAAGCCACAGACTGAAACTTCTGAAACTGAGCTAAATTCATCTTTCCTCCTTAAAGATGATTATCTTCCTAGGCATCGTGGCACACACCTTTAGTCCCAGTAATTGAGTGGCAGAGGCAGACAGATCCCTTGTGAGTTCAAGACCAGCCTGGTTTACATAGTAAGTTCCAGAACAGCCAGAGCTATATAGTGACACCCTGTCTCAAAAACAACAACAAAAAGATTATCTCAGTTGGAGTATACCTCAGTGTGGTGCTTAGCTACGGTTTACAAAGCCCCAGTTTCAATCAAAAGATAGCCAGGCAGATGCCTGTAACCCTGGACCTTAGGAGGTAGAGGCAGAAGTATCAGGAGTTTAAGATCATCCTTAGCTATATAGTGAATTCAAAGCCAGTGATGCTATTTAGACCATGATTCAAGTTGTTAGAAAGATGGCTCAGTGGCTAAGAACACTTGCTGATCCTGTGGAGGACCCAGGTTCAGTTCCTACCACCCAACTCTGCCACTCACAATTATCTGTAACTCCAGATACAGGGATCTAACAGCCTCTTCTAACTCCTGTGAGCACCTAATACACACAATACATTATCATCCATGTATGCAAAAGACTCACACACAGAAAAATAAATACACCAGCCACGTGTAGTGGTACACGCCCATAATCCCAGCACCTGGAAGGCAGAGGCAGGGGCATCTCTGTGAATTTGAGGCCATCTAGGACTATGTAAGAAGACCCTGTCTCGGGGCTGGGGAGATGGCTCAGTGGTTAAGAGCACTATCTGCCCTTCCAGAGGTCCTGAGTTCAATCCCCAGCAACCACATGGTGGCTCACAACCATCTCTAATGGGATCTGATGCTTTCTCCTGTCATGAAGGCATACATGCAAATAGAGTGCTCATGTGTGTAAATAAATCTTAAAAAAAAAAAAAAAAAAAAAAAAAAAGACCCTGTCTCAAAAGGCCAAACAAAAGAAGGGACTGCAAAGATTGCTTAAAGTTTAAGACCACTGGACCTGGGTTTAATTCCCAGGTGACTCATAACTATACCTCCAGTTCCAGTTCTAGAGGATCTGATGCCTTTTTCTGGCTTCTTTGGGCACCAGGCACACAAGTGGTACACACACACACGTGCAGGGTAAACACCCATACACATAAAGTAAAATAAAAAATAACTAAAATGAAAAAGCAAACCAAACAAAAGTTAGGAGAACCATACAAGCTTACATGTTCCCACAATCCAAGTTCAAAAGATACCATCTCGACAGGTAGTGGTGCTGTATGCCTTTAATCCCAGTACCTGGCAGGCAGAGGCAGGTGGGTCTCTGTGAGTTGGAGGCCAGCCTGCTCTACAAAGTGAGTCCAGTATGGCCAGGACTACACAGAGAAACCCTGTCTTAAAAAATCAAAAATAAACTAATGAACATACCATCTCATGGTCACTTTCGCTTCACCTTTATTTTTTGTTTTTGTTTTTCAATTTTTGAGATAGTTTTTCTGTGTAGCCTTGGCTGTCTTGGATTCACTCTATAGACCAGGCTGGCCTAGAACTCACAGAGATCTACCTGCCTCTGCCTCCTGAGTGCTGGGATTACAGGCCTGTGCCATTGCACCTGGCTTGCTTCATCCATCCATCTCTCTCTCTATGTATATACATACATACATACATACATATATATATACATATATATATGTATATATATGTATATATATATATATATATATATATATATATATATATATATCACCCCCACATCCCAGATTTTGAAAATTTTTATTCATCCGTTTAAAATTTTTACACTCAATTTGTCTAGTGTGTATATGTCACTGTATTTCTGTGTCCATTCATGCGTGTGTGTAGTGTATGTCTGTTTCTGTGTACGTGCTCGGGAAGAGATCAGAAGACTACATGCAGGAATTAGTTCTCTCCTTCCATCTTATGGACTCTGCATATCATACTCACCTCATCAGGCTGGCCAGCAAATGTCTTTCTCTGTTGAGCCATTTCATTGGACCTATTTTGGTGGGTTTTGTTTATTGCTGTTTTAGAATTTTTAAAAAAGATTTCTTGCTGGGGCTAGAGTGATGGCTCAATGGTTAAGAGCACTGGCTGCTCTTCCAGGGGTCCTGAGTTCAATTCCCAGCAATTACATGGTAGCTCACAACCATCTGTAATGGAATCTGATTCCCTCTTCTGGTGTATATGAAAGCAGAGCACTCAAGTACATAAATAAATCTTAAAAAAAAATAACCTTAAAAAAGGATTTCTAAGTATACTTCTACGTTTGTCTGTATATCTGTGTGAGTATATGCCATATATGGTGAGTGTCCTCGGAGTCTAGAAGGGGTGTCAAATCATCTGAAGCTGGAGTTACAGGTTATTGTGGGACACCTGACGAGGTGTTGAGAACTAAATTTGGCTCCCTGCTGTCCCTCTAGTACCCTCCTTTTTGTGTAGGGTGGCTTGCCTGCATGACTGTACACCAAATGTGTGCCTGGTGTCTGTGGAGCCTAGAGGAGGGCATCAGCTTCCCTGGAACTGGAGTTACAGGTGGCTGCGAACTGCTATATAGGTATTGGAAATTGATCCTGGAAGTGCAGCCAGTGCTCTCAACCTCTGAGACATTTCTCCAGGGCTCCACCCCCTTTTTTAATAGAGTGTCATGTAGCATGTTTGTGTGTGTGCAGGGACCTGTGTGTTTTTGTGTATGCATATGCACATAGTTACAGAGGCTAGAGGTTAACCTGATCCTGACACTCAGATGCCACCTACCTTACTTTTGGGGGATGGGATGTCTCACTGGGACCTAAGGCTTAGGTCCCAGTGGATTAGGTTTGCCTGGCTGACAAGATCCAGGACTCCTCCTTCCTCTGCCTACCCTGGGCTGGGATTACAAGTATACCACAGATTCAGCCTTCACCTAGATTCTGGAAACTGAAGTTGGGTTCTCATGCACTTTATAGACTGAGCTATTTCCCCAGTCTGACGCTGAGCTTTTAATCCTCAGGCATCCCACATCTCAAGTGCTGAGATTGCAGGTGTATGCCACTATGTCCGGCTCTTGGTTTTGTTTTATTTATTTTTGTTTTGTTTTCTTTTGGTTTTAATACGTATTGGTGTTTTGCCTGCACATATATCTCTGTGAAGATGTTGGATCCTGGAACTGGAGTTAGTTGAGAGATACCCCATGGGTACTGGGAATTGGACCCAGGACCTTTAAAAAATTTTTTTATTTAATTTTATTTTGTGTGCACTGGTGTAAGGGTGTCAAACCACCTGGAACTGGAATTAGACAGTTGTGAGCTGCTATGTGGGTGCTGGGAGTTGAACTGAGTCCTTCGGAAGAGCAGACAGTGCTTTTAACCATCTTTAGCCATCTTTCCAGCCCTGAGCCCAGGACCTTCAAAAGAACAGCTTCTGTTGTTTTTATTTTTAAGTCTAGGTCTTGATAGAAATATTATCTTGACTGTTTTACAGGAGTTCCAGTCAAGAAACTCAAAAGAATTCTTTCTGACTAACCACGGAAATATTATCAGTATGTGTATCTGCCTTGAGTGAAAGAGACAAGGAGGAAATTAGGAGAGGCTCCTAGTGAAAAGGAGGAGCTGAAGGTTTGACTCAGAGAAAGTTCAGTGGCAACAGGACGCCCACTGACATCCACAAACTGAAAGCATGGTGAATTATGCTTAGCTGTTTTTACCTGAAATCATCACCAGAGGGAGTTTCTGCATTTGTGCCACTTGACCGTCCATCATCACTATCCCCTCGATGCTGCGTCAATCTGCAAGACACAATACAACAGTACTATCAGCTCTACTCTGTAAATCATGCACAGTACCCGACCTTTGCAAGCTGGGTAAAAATCAAGGATTCAATTAAAATACTGCAAGGCCAGAGTGCAAGGGTCCTCCAGTGTCTCTTCTCATGACAGACGCCAAATACTAGTGCTGACAAGAGCCTTTCTCTTCAGGGTATTTAATAAATGGAGAAAAGACCTAATATCCAGAAGATTAGAAGAAAAATCCTCTTTAAAAATAAATTAAGCGGACTGGAGAGATGGCTCCGTCGTTAAGAGCACTGTCTGCTCTTCCAAAGGACCCAGGTTCAATTCCCAGCACCCACATGGCAGCTCACAACTGTCTCTTAATGCTGATTCCAAGTGCTCTGACTCTTTCACACTAATGCATATAAAATAAAACCAAATAAATCATTTAAAAAACAAATAAATTAAGCGCTGGAAAGATGGCTCAGTGGCGAAGAGCATTGACTGCTTTTCCAGAGGACTGGGTTCAATTCCCAGCAACCACATGACAGCTCACAACTGTCTGTAACTCCAGATCCAGTAGATAAGACACCCTCACACAGACATACAGGCAGGCAAAACACCAATGCACATAAAATATCTTAATTAAGAAAAAAATAAGTTAATTAAAAAAAAAATAAACAGGCCCGGAGAGCGAGTATCAGCTCCTACTGCTAAAGGGGGAAGGATCCTAGTTCGGTTCTTCGAACCGACTCAGGGCACCTCACAACTACCGGTAACTTAAGTTCCAGGTGTGACGCCTCTGGCCTCAGTGCATGCATGTACGTGCGAATACACACACACACACACACACACACACACACACACACACACGTAATTTTAAAACACATCTTAAAGAATAAATTGCAGGGCCAGAAGAGCTACTGGAAAGTCAGCTGGAGTAAGCAGAGGGTACCAAGGGGAGAGAAAGGCAGCAAAAACGGAGGAAACTGGAGGGTGAGGATGAAAGTGTGTGGTAGAAATGAGGACAATTCGGGATAGGGGCAGTAGGCTGGGAACAGACACTGAAGGAATGCGGTGTTCAAGAACTGCGCTGAACAGATGTCAGGGGCTGCGGTGACAGGGGCTGAAAGAGGGCAGAGGCTTGGAAGTGCTGGGCATAAAAACCCAGAAGGGCCGGGAAGAACTGACTGAGGCCCATGGGGCCAGAGACTTTGGCGGGGAGAGGCGATGGCGAGTAGGGGCCGCGGGGTGCAAGGATGGGCCGCGGGCGCAGCGGGCAGGGCGCGGGCACCTGCTTCCGCGGTAGCTGTAGAGGCAGTAGTGGCTGCTGGGTGGCAGCTCGAGTCTCCGCTCCTCCGCAGAGCCACCCTCCTCGCTGCTCTCTAGCTCCTTTTCATCCCCATCCAGCGATTCCTGCAAAGACGGGAGCATCGCGGCAGCCTCCTCGAGGCCCTGTGTCCCGGTCAAACCGTTCCCCCGCGGCCGGGCGGTCCTCTGTGCGCCGGCTCGATCTCCTTCCGGTCCCCGCAAACCTGAGTTCCGCAGGCGTCCCGAGTCCTAGACTGGGAAGCTAAGTTGGAGAAACTTATTCGTAGAGAGTGTCTCTGAGAACCCCTTACTATTTCTTGTAAACTATCTTTCCTCCACCAATTGAATATCAAGTAGGCAATATATGCTGAAGGTGGTAAAATGAGCTTCTAAAAAAAAGTTTGATCAAAGACTTTGGCCAGACCTAGTGGAGTGCTCCTTTAATCCTAGCACTCTGGAGGCAGAGGCAGGCTCAAAGCCTCCCTCGTTTACATACGTGTTTCAGGCCAGCCAGAACGACAGACTGAGACCCTTCCTCAAAAGTTAAATTAGCCAAGGACCATGCATGGATATAACCTAGAACCCCTGCTCAGATGTAGCCCATGGCAGCTTAGCATCCAAGTGGATTTTCCTAGTAAGGAGAACAGGGACTGTCTCTGACATGAACTCAGTGGCTGGCTCTTCGACCTTACCACCCACAGAGGGAGGAACAGCCTTGCTAGGCCATAGAACTAGGGTCAGATGGAAGGGGAGGACGACCTCCCCTATATAGTGGACTTAGAGAGGGGCAGGGAGGAGATGAGGGGGGGAGCTACAGCTGGGATTCAAAGTAAATAAACTGTAATTAATATTAAAAATAAAAATTTATATAAAAAAGTTAAATTATATTAAAAGTAAGTAAATAAGGACACCAAGCTGGTGGTGGTGACACTCACCTTTAATCCCAGCACTCTGGAGGCAGAGGCAGAGGCAGACAGATCTCTAAATTTGAGGCCAGTCTGGTCTACAGAGCGAGTTCTAAGACACCACCTACACAGAGAAACCCTGTCTCAAAAGCAATGATAATGATAGCAATAAAAGTGGAGCATAATTGTTTTAAATTCTTGAATTTAAAGAGTGTTTTATAAACAAAATATTTAGAAACCATAGAAAGAAACATTTTTTTTAGCTGATTACATAAAAACTAAAGGGTTGGGTCACCTGTGTGGCTTGAAGGGAAATTTTGGACAAAACTTAAGGGTTTTTTTTTTGTTGTTGTTTTGTTTTTGTTTGTTTGTTTGTTTTTTGAGCCAATACCCGTGACCCTGGCTATCCAGGCTTAAATCGCAGCACTTTGAAGGCAGAGACAGGTGGTGGTTCTCTGTGAGTTTGAGACCAACCTGGTCTACACAGAGATACCCTGCCTCAAAAAACCAAAGCAAGCAAACAAAACAACAACTAAACTGAATTACCATGGCCACAAGCTCAAATTACTCAGAATCTTATAGTTTTTCCCATTAAGGAGGTTGCACAGACTTTCCCAAAAGAAAATAGATAGAATAATCAAGTAGGAAAGGACAAAGATGGTCCCTTTAGCCAGGCAATGCATGTTTTACAATATTCTGATGTTGTCATTCTTGGTTTTAAGGTTAGGAGGAGCCTACGTCTGCCACGCTTCTTTTATACCCCAAGAATATTACTGGTAGTAGTCACAAGATGTTAAGTTGTATACAGAGGTCCACAGTGAATGGTAGGCCAAGATAACTTTGGCTTCTCTATCTACAACATTCCATCTATTTGGCATTGTAGGGCTCCCTACAGTCAGCCAAGTTCAATCGTCAAGCTCTTGAATGTAGATTAGGCTTTTTAAGAGAACTTCAGTTCACAGCATAATCAACAATCTGGGAAAACTTCTTTGCCACATTTATATTAGACAATGGGCTTTCAATTATCAGTGGTGAAGGGGAAAAGAGAGAAATGGAAAGAGGAGAGGAGACAGCTGGCAGAAGAAAAGCAAGGACTATCTAAATAACCCACTCAACATCAATTTTTTTTTTAAAAAATGGTGGTATATGTGGTGGTTTGAATGGTTCCATAGGTGCATATATGGTTGGACTCCCCCCCCTCCCGCTGGTGGAACTGTTTAGAAAGGGTTAAGAGGTGTGGCCCTGTCAGAGGAAGTATGGCACTGGGGACTGACTTTGAGGTTTCCAAAGACTCACACTCTTCCCAGTGTGCTCACTGTCTTTTGCTTGTGTTTCTGTGATATGACCTCTCAGCTCTTCCTACCACAGACACTATTATAGTGTCTCTGAAACTATAAGGAAAGAAAAATACATTACTGTTGTTTCTTTCTGTTTTTGTTTGTTTGGAGACAGGGTTTCTCTGTGTAGCCTTGTTATCCTAGGCTCACTTTGTAGACCAGGCTGGCTGCAAACTGAGATCCACCCGTCTTTGCCTCCCAGGGTTACAGGCATGAGCCACCACGCTTACTTCATTCCTGTTTTTTTGTTTGTTTATGTTTAAAATTTATTTATTTATTTATTATGTATAACGTTCTGTCTGCATGACAGTAGAGGGCACCAGATCACATTATATATGGTTGTGAGCCACCATGTGGTTGCTGGGAATTGAACTCAGGACCTCTAAGGAAGAGCAGCAAGCACTCTTAAATCTCTAAGCCATCTCTCCAGCCCATCATTCCTGTTGTTTAAGTTGCCTAGTTTCTGGCACTTTGCTGTGTTGGTCCAAGGAAACCAATACAGAAAATTCTTTCCCATAGGCCTTTGTTCTACCCCAGTATGTATTGCTTGTTCATATCATTTCCTAATAGATTCCATCTTTTTTTTTTTGTTTGGTTATGCATGGCTCATTCTCCTAATATACTGAAGTTCCTCCTCCAATACTATCCTCTGAAAGAATGTGTAAAAAGAGTCTGAGGTCCTTGCATGTCTGAAAATGTCCTCATATATCTAAAAGTGAGTCCTCAAATACCTTTATTGTGTTCTCATGTTTGATTGAATATGTCCTAGAAATACAACTTTTGATTGATGTTATTGGACATTGAATTCCGAGGTTGGAAAAAGCTTCCCTAAGATTCTCAAAGCTTTTTCTTTGATAGAACGTTCTCTTTTTAAAGATTTATTTTTATTTATATGTGTGTGTGTGTGTTGGCTAACATTGGTTGTCAATTTGACTATGTCAGTAATTAACTAAAAACCAATCTTTGAGAATTATTGTGAGATTTGGTTTGTTTTTGTTGTGTTTTTATCAGATTATTTTAATCAGGAAGACTTACCTTTAACCTGGGCCACACCTTCTGGTAGCAGCTCAGGTAAAAGGGCTTGGAAGAAGGAAGCTTTGTTTTTTGCCTGTTTGCCCTCATCTTGGTAGCAAGTTTATTGTCTTGTTACTTCGGATGTTATTAAGTCCAAGTTCTTCAAGATTCCAAGGTAGACTGAAGACAAAGAAGCTCCCCAGGAACCCTCTAGGACTCTAGGCCCAGCCTGGGATTGCTGAGACATCCAACCTAGTGGACTAAACAACTAGATTCTCATGCTTTCCATCATGAGACAGCCATTGTAGGAGTACCTAGAACATAACCTGTGAACCCATCTAACAAATGCCCTTTCAATATCCTCAGAGACTCCTGACTATGCTACATGAGTGTAGGTGCCCACCAAGGACAGAGGAGGGCCTTATTGCTTGGAGTGGTGTTATAGGAGGTTGAGAGGCACCTGATGTGGATGCTGGAAACTGAACTCAAGAACTCTGGAAGAGCAGCAAGGGCTACTGCCCACTGAGCCATGTCTCTAGTCCCCAATTACAAGAATTTTGTTTGTTTGTTTGTTTGTTTTTCAAGACAGGGTTACTCTGTGTAATAGCCCTGGCTATCCTGGACTTGCTTTGGAGACCAGGTTGGCCTCCAACTCACAAAGAACCGCCTGCCTATGCCTCCCAAGTGTTGGTATTAAAGGCATGTGCTACCATGCCCAACCAATATACTTTTTTAAAAAATGTATAAATGTGCCAGCTGGGAGTAATGCACATGCCTTTGATCCCAACATTTGGGAGGCGGAAGCAGGCAGATCTCTGAATTCCAGGCCAGCTTGATCTACATAGTAAGTTCCAGAACAGGCAGAGCTATGTAGAGAAACCCTGACACAAAAAACAAACAACAAACAAAAAAATACAGGCATGCGGAGTATAGGAGAGCATGCCTTAAAGAAACAGAAGCAGCCAGATTTCTATAGCCAGCCAGGATTACATAGTGAGACCTTTCTGTTGTGAAGTATTCACCAGAAAGACTACTCAGACATGGGTTTAAGCCAATAGAAAGTCTTTATTAGGGCCTGTGGAGATGGCTCAGTGGTTAACAGCACTGACTGCTCTTCCAGATGGACCTGGGCTCAATTCCCAGTACCCACATGCAAGCTCACAACTGTCTGTAACTCCAAAAGATCTGACATCCTCACACAGGCATACATGCAAGTAAAACACTTATAAAATAAAAAATAAACAAAATAAAAAGAAAGTCTTTTTTTTTTTTTAAAGATTTATTTATTATCTATACAACATTCTGCCTGCACACCAGATCTTACTATAGATGGTTAGGAGCCACCACGTGGCTGGGAATTGAACTCAGGACCTTTGAAGAACAGAGAGTGTTCTTAACCTCTGAGCCATCTCTCCAGCCCCCCAAAAAGAAAGTCTTTATTGCCTGGTGGCAACTATTTGGAGAGCTTGGGATCCCAGTGTAGCCCTGAGCCTTTCCCAGAATGAACTTTTAAGCACAGAAACTATGTTCTGGGCTGACATACTTCAGTTAACAAGAACAGTTAGCCAGAAGCAGACCTACAGAAGCAAAAAAGAAAATTTAGTACGCTTAGAGACTTTCCCAGAACTATGAACTTTGATGGATTAGGCCTTTGTTTTAGTTTTGGCAGATATTGCTGTCTATGTGCTGAGTTTTAAAGCCTAAATGTCAGTTCCATCCTGGAGTCAGTTGTGCTAAGGTCTAGGGGTGCATACTAAGGTCTGGGGCCCTGTTACACTTTCCTTAAACAAATAACAATAAAACACACACACACACAATGGGATCATACCTGTAATTTCAGCACTTGGGTGATAGAAACAGGAGGAAAAGGAGTTGAAGGTCATCAGTGGCTCCATAGCAAGTTCAAGGGCCAACCT